AGATGTTTAACAATCCAGCCATATGGCTCCAATAAGGCAGCCTTGTCAAAGATTACAAAAACTCCACTAGACACACAGCCCTGTAAAATGGGAGTGCAGTCCTGAGGTAGGAATGTTCATATGGCTGCACTATAAAAGGATCCATCACACTGGGAAGTTGGCATGGCTATTGGAATTACAGAATTTAGGAAACATTATTTAAAATCCTGACAACAATCCGGTCCCAAATTTGCATAATTCCCTCCAGTCAGCTCCTAAAAGCACATTCCTCATTTGGTTTTGAAATTCATTAAAGGTGAGCTTAAAAAAATGGGTAAATAAATATATACAAACATAATAAATATATACAAACATCATTAATACATACAAACATAATAATGCCCCCAACCCCTGGCCTGAGTAAAACACCTCTGTAGGTGACACACAGATTCAACCAGTGGGACCAACAATTCCTCTGCAAAAGGATTTGTCAAAGTCAAGGGGCCCTGCTGGTGCTTGTGGCAACTGTGATGTGGAAAGCTGAGTGTTGAGAAACAATCTGAGATCAATAACAACTTGGCCAAGAGAGGAAAGAACCATGAAATGGTCAATCCATAACTCTACTGGATTTTGGCAGGTTTGAATGACAGATAAATGGCAGCAAATCAGATTGTTAAATCACTAATCCTGTCATTATTGCATCCTGTCACATTGCATAGATTCAGACATTAGAAAAAGAGTGTAAGGTAGGAGAGTGAAAAAAAAACCACTTAAAAGCTCAAATAGCCCAAGTTTGTGTTTTGTGGCTGGGTTTTTCTGCCCCGGGTCAGCTGTCAGAAGCTGCTGTTTGCAGCCCCAGCTGATGCTCAGGTCTCTGACCCTTTGTTACCCAGAAGAAACATCCCTTCTGTATAAATGTGTTGTGCAAGAATAAGATGAAAATGGACAGACTGAACAAAGCCTTGGTCTCTCAGACAAAGATGCCTCCACTTAGTACACAGGGCATCTTTCCACCTGACATATTCTTAAAGGCAACTATTCAATTACCATCTCCTCACAGGGTAAAAAGCATGGAAAAGCCATGGAATATTCCTTTTTTTTTTTTCTGAGCAGCAAAGCATTCAGAGATGTTTTATCTACCACAGATACTAATCTAGGCAATATAATTTTAAAACATCCTTACGAAAAACCTTGAAGGGCACTTGAACCCTGTGGTTGTTTAAAAAAAGATTTTCTGCAGTTTATGCATTTGCTCTGCCAAAAGCTTACCTTAGCATACAAAGTACAGTAAATCATCACTGCTCTGATTTACTGCCCACACTGGGCTGTTTGTTTGCAGGGACAGCTCAGGGAAAAGCTCTGTCAAGTCTAAGAACATTCAGAGAAGGGGAATCGTTTTGCAAAGCTCCCACTGTGGCAACAACCTTTTCTAAGAGATCAGGGGAGGGGGGGAAAAATTCAGATGTGCATTTGCAGCATTTTTCAGGTGAGTTTTTTTCAATACCATTGCAACTCAAAAATATTCCAAGCCCTTTGGAGGCACAATTTCATACCCAAAACTGTTTAGCCTCAGTGCTAAAGGGCTGGCCAATTGAAATTATTGGACTTTGGGCCTGAATTCCACATTTTATGGGGCAGCAGAATACACAGATCTCAAAAAGGCAAAGGAGACAGAAGAGAAGTGGCAGAGAAAGAAGCTCTGGGTCAACTTGGTTATTTAGAACTGAGTATAGATTTTATTAGACCTAATCCATTTGGTAAGTCCCAACAGGAGGACAAAGATAAAGCCATATATCTGACATTCCTTTAAAAATGAGTAAATGAGAAGGGAAAAGATCAAAACAGTAGCTGAAAGCCTTCACTCCTGCTTTAAAACCCAAGAAACAGTCATTAATAGAGATTTAAACTCAGCCTTCTCTAGTCTAAACATGTCACTGTTAATTACAAAGCTATTTAACTTTTGCAAGAAATAAAGACTGCTATTAATGAAAGAAGAACCAATTAGCCTTTAATCTACACACTGTTTTTTAATCAAACTTTCTTTTGATCATCAGGCTCACTGCAGGATGTTTCCCTCCTCCCCATGTTGCCGTGGCTTCCATGGTTGCTAATGGAACAGATTTTAAAGGGCTGCCTGATGGGGAGAACCTTCTCTGCAGGGCTGGAGCTTCCCTGCCCTCCCTTCCTGCCAGGGACAGCACAGCAAAGTGGAATTCTGTGGCCTGACTCCTCTTGGAGCAGTTGGAAGTAAAGGAGCAGCACTGAATGTGTCTGGAGGAACACAGGACAGGAGAACGGGACTATCTTGTCCGGAAGCAACAGAAAATACCAGAGTAAAGGAAAGAACTGGGAAAGGGAAGAAAAAAGGCAAAAGCAGGGAGGTGCCTCCAGGAATGAAAATGGAATTCAGTGCAGACTGCAAAGAATGATGAATGAGAGAATTTGCTTGTTGGCACAGGAATGTATTGTGGCAAAACAAAACAAAACAAATGGGATCAGGGCTCCGTGTGTTCCAAACAAATGGGGTGACACAAAAAGGATCCCATCAGCTAAATATTGTTGTGCCTCCAAACTGTTGCTTGTGGGGTCAGAGAGTTTCAAGGAGGTTTTCTGTTTGTTTTGGGGTGGGTTTTTTTGCCATGTGGTATCAAAACAATGAGACCAAGTCTCTGGGATCCATCATGATGGAGAACTCCCTTGACACCATTTCTCCCTCAGCTGCACTTGCTGCTCCCATTTCCAGGCAGGAGAGATGGAGGATGTCCCTGGGGTAGGAATTGTGCAGTGCTGACCATGCAGATAATGAAACACAAGGCCCCGAGTGGTGCACATGTAAACAGCAGAGAAAATGTCACTATTATCTGCTCTGTGTCAAACATGGAGCTCCTGCTCTGCCCAGATACCTCCTGCCTGCTCTGAATTAGCAAAACTTTGGTGGCTGCTGCTTTTTCTCCACCACAGAAAGACAAAATTTACCTGGCAGCAGCAGAACACTGAGTATTAATACCAACAGTAAAAAAAAAACCACTTTAAAATAAACATTAATGCCCTCAAATAATCAGAATCCTCAAGTAACAAACCTCTGCAGAGATTTATTGTTGCAAGCAGTATGGCAATTAAAAAATAAAAAAAAAATAAAAATCAATAGATGGCAGAGAGAAAAGTCATAATAAATGTGCTCTGTGCCAGACAGGATTCTGAGTCACGGAATTCTAGACTGTTATTAATAAAAGTACGTGGAACAACTGCTGAAATGGTATTGACACCTAAGAATTTAGAGGTAAGTACATACTTAACACAGGGAGGATTTCACCAAAGACAATGGGTTACTATAGATGTTTTTCAGGACTTCAGTAACAGCACTTTGCACTTCAAAAGAGCAAATTATTGCTCTTTCTGTAAAATAATTCCAGTGCCTTATCTCAAAAGGCTGGTGATTTTTCACAGTCCAAAGTCCCCTTAATGTAACTGTTTGGCATAAAGGTCATTTAAAATGAGATCAGGGTCCATCCATGTTTTTGAGCTGCTCATATATTACAATGTAAGCCCAACACAGGAACTCAGATAAAAACATCAACAGATACAGAAAGAAGCAGCTGCAAAGCACAAGGTCAAGATATTTAAACATAGCTGGTTAGTTGTATCATTTTCATATTTAAATTATTCCATGGCATTCTAAATCTGCCAATAAAAATTGGATTCTGATGCTGATCAAAACCCCTTTGTGTTTTTCTTGTGTCATAATCCCACAACACAAAATCTGGACAAGAGATCCCGGCCCCACTCTCCTTTTGAGTAAAGTGTGGCACATGCAGAACACTCAGAAAGCTGCAATACTGAAAACACGTGGCATTTTTAACTAACAGACTAATTGCTGAAAGATCCATTTGGATTTTTGTCCCACTCAAACTGGCCTAACACACTCCAGAGCTTTTTATTTAACTCACATAGGGTAGTTGGGACAAAGATCTTCAGAGGTTTGAGAAGCTTTAAAAAGTTAAATTATTGACAGGAACTGTGGAAAACCAGTGACATTTTAACTGTTCTTACCTGAGTAAGAAGTTTCAAAGGTAAGAGGCAGAAACTTTATGCTGCTGCTTAAGCTGTGCCATAGTTTATTCCTCAGTGTTCTCAGTTCCCCTAATTTAACATTAGTGAATGCTTGCATTAATTACTCCCCAAAGTAAGCTCAGATTCAGGAAAGCACTGAGGAACTTCATTAACTCCCTCCCCAATGATTTCAGCCAAATCTTACTCAGGCACTTCAAATGCACGTACCTGAGATGACCTGAAACGTTGGGTATCTGCAATTCTGGCTGAAATCAGGGGGACCTGGAGGTTCTGAAAATCAGCCCTTAACAGAGTCACAGAATCAACTGGGCTGGAAAAGACCTCTGAGGTCATCGAGTCCATCCTTTGACCCAACCCCACCTTGTCACCCAGCCCATGGCACTGATGCCACATCCAGTCTGTCCTTAAACACCTCCAGGGATGGGGACTCCACCACCTCCCTGGGCAGCCCATTCCAATGGCTAAGCACTCTGTAAAGAATTTCTTCCTGATGTCCAACCTAAACCTCCCCTGGCACATCTCAAGGCTGTGCCCTCTTGTTCTACTGCTGGTTCCTGGGAGCAGAGCCTGACCCCCACTTGGCTCCAACCTCCTGTCAGGGAGTTGTAGAGTGATGAGGTCTCCCCTGAGCCTCCTCTTCTCCAGGTTGAACCCCCCCAGCTCCCTCAGCTGCTCCTCACTCCACTTGTGCTCCAGTCCCTTCAGCAGCTCTGTTCCCTTCTCTGGACCTGCTCCAGCCCCTCCATGTCCTTCCTGAGCAGAGGAGCCCAGAGCTGAACACAGCACTCGAGGTGTGGCCTCACCAGCTCTGAGTACAGGGGCAGAATCACCTCCCTGCTCCTGCTGCCACACTGTTCCTCCTGCAGGCCAGATGGCAGCAATACACCTTTAATTTGCCCGCAGCCCCTCCCCAGCTCCCTTTGGCTGTCCCCTCAGGGCTCAGTACATACGGATGCAGTAGTCTCCACTCTCGTAGTAGCCGGGGCAGCACTGGGATCTCCGCCGGTACATCGTCCGCAGCCCCCTCCGATAGGCGGTTTTATAACTGATCCTAAATCACAGGACACAAAGCCATTGGACACCATTGAAAATCGATGCCTCCCCTCGCAATTATATTTGTGTTAAATTATGGTAAGGAGAGCACTCAATAATTATTTTTTAACGCGCGAAGGCTTTTGATATTAAAAGCCACGATAAAAAAAGGAATCGATGCTTGTTTGGGAACTTGAAATATAACTTGTGTTATGAACACGGTGCTCCTGACACTCAATCACTGGAGCCCTTCCTAGGGCTGCTGCTTCCTTCAAACATTTCCCCAGTCCTACTGCAAGGACAAGGAGCTTCTTGGAGAATAAATGATTTATTTCTGCACGTCAGGCAGGTCAGCTCTCATCGATGGAACGAACTGGATCTTCTGCAGAGACTCAGAGCTGCTACAACAAAACCACCACGGTGGCAACTGCTCTCAGGACCCATCTTGGCAAGTTAACCCCAAGTGATTTGTTCCTGTTTGCCAACCCTCCCAAGGAACTCGTGCCTTGTAAAGTGACATTATAGTTGCAGTTCAGTATTTAAAGCTCCTTTTCCCACCACAATGCTGCAGTCCCCAGCAATTAAAAGGTGTGAAGCATTCTGTAGGTTTTCCACGCTGATTCACAGCATTAGCAGTGATCCCGCATTACAAAAGTTATATTTAAACTGCATATTTCACAGCAAATATTTCAAAACAGCTTTGCTCGTGTTAGTTTATGGAAATTACCTAAACTGAACAAAGCCTATTGTCCCCCGTGTTAGATAAACTGATGGAATTCACTCTGCTGCATTCCAATCTATACAATAGCCCAGAAAGTTCTGCAGCCTTGTTCAGTTTTAAACACTAACACAGAAGCTCCAACCCCACAGTCAGTGGGAAGGTGCTGAAGAGCCCATTTGCAACTGAATGCATGAAAGTTAAGAGACCAACTGGCTTCCAAAACTCCCTTGAAATATTAGTGCATGTTTATCAGGATACTTCGGAATGAGAATGGATATAACACTGATATCCTGCAGCCTCAGAAAAAAATAACTCTTTGGTATCATTCTTCAATCAGTGCTAGAAATGGATCCATCCTCATTTTAGCTGATTTTCAGTGCAGATTTGGGTGCAGTATTTCAGACATGGATCCATTTTTAATTACCACTAATCCTCAAATGCCTGATCCTTCACGATTTAGGAGGTGCAGGGAATTCCCCCCACAAACCTGGACATGCACTGACCACTTGGAAAAGAGAGTTGGTCACGTTTGGTCAGGTGATAAAAACTTCCAATCCCACGGCAGGGCCAGTGGCAAGGAGATATATTCCTGGGTGGCCCCAGGAGGGACTGACTGCCACTGATTCCACCCAAATTTCACGCACAAATCTCTCTTCGGAATTCCAAACACCCTGCACTAAAACCCATCTTTCTGTATATATGGAGTAGAGTATCACAAACATTTGGATAATAAGAGGGATGTGAGGAGATAAAAAGAGGCAAAATGACACCGCAATGTCTGAATTTCTGCAGCTCAGCTCTTACCTGTGTCTGGTGCACTTGAACCAGTTGAGGATGTCTGTGCATCGTGTGTAATAGATCTGATCAAAGGGGTGAGCATAAGACTCCTGCACTGTCACAGCATAGCTGGAAAAGGACACAGAAAGAAAGTTTCAGTGCCATGGATATGCTGCTCACCAAGGTTCAGTGGGAAAAATAATTACATCAATGATCTTAGAAACTTTGGTCATTATCAAAGAGCACAAAAGGGCTTCCTTCAACTACAGCTCTTCCTGAAAAGTTTGGAAGTGGAAACTGGTATCAATATGAGCAATGAAACCAGTTTCTTTCCCCTTTTGGAAAAGAAACAAATGGTACTAAAATTCATGGAAGTTTAGAAAGTGAAAAATGCATTTGGTTAACTTATTAGTGCAAATTTTCAAGGAGAGGAAAGCATCATGTTTTTAGAATGTCTCAGCTGCCTTCCTGCCTGGAAGTTAATTTTTTCTTGTGTTCCCCACAGTAATAAGGGCTCACATTCCCTCAGCGCTCTGCCAGCAGGATGGGATGCTCCCACTTCATTTTGTGATGAAGCAGCACCATTACTTCATATATTGGGTTCACCAATCAAATAAAATGATCAGCAAAACGCAGAAGAGTGTTTATTTTTGTGCTGCACAAATTTAAGCCTTTTAAATTGTAGCAGAAATAACCTCAGAATTACCTGCAAACTGCCATGAGAGTTAACTGGTGTGTGGATTTGGAACACTAGGACAGAGGGTTCCAATGGGATCACCTCCCCTTGTGCAAATGAAGGGATAGGGAGGAAAACTGGGCAATTTGATTGGAAATGACAGAGCTCCAACCACGCTAAGAACTCAGCAATCTCCACCCCAAAACACCAGTCAGTCATACAACAAGTTCTATGCTAATTACTGTGATTATACTGGCAGTGTTTGGGCCTCTCAAGTGACCCAGGAACCCAAAACTCCTGGAGCTGTGTCAGTCCTTCCAGAGCCTTGTTCTGCCCCACAGGGAGGGTGTGCCCTGCCCAGGGGACTGACCTGCAAACAAGCCCCACTTTATCAGGGCTCCAATGGACACTGAAATCCTGCCAGGCAGGGCCAGGACTCAGGAATCAGATCCTCTGGGTCACTCATTATATATTGATTGTCTTAATCCTCCAAGTGATTTCCTTCTGCTCTGCTGATGTGGTTAAACCCTGTGAGGCTGCACCCAAAACATTTGCTTGGAGGGTCTGATTGGCTTGAAATCGAAGATTGGGCTGTTCCTGCCCTGCTTGTCATGTCCCTTCTAGACAAGCCAAGCCCTCTATCACAGTTTTGACAACAATGTTTTCACTTCTTTAATACCAAAAAGTAAAGTATTTACATTGCTCCTTATTAATGTAAAACACTCACAAACCTTGATTATTATTTCACAATCCTGTTTATTATCCAGCAACAGCCCTAACAATCTTTTTCCCTTTGATTTATTAACATCTAACTAACAAAGTCATCTTGGTCAGTACAACCAATCAATTTTGGTATTTAATTTTTGTTTCTCCTTGATTGGGTCTCGAGGTTGCTGACTTTCTTCAGACAAAATCAATATTTTATTCCTGTGCTCTGAATGCACTTCACCTCCCCACACAGACTGCAAATCCCTTCTGCCCAGCCTTTGCTTTGCACTTGCATTACCTGCAAACAGTTAATTCCCTAATTAAGGCCTCAAAACCCAGTGTCATTAAAATATGATTCTATTTTTGCTCTTGTGAAGGGGTTTATTTTGCTGAAGTGTACAGCAGTGTGGGATTAACAGAAGTGGAAATTTAGCAAGTTCAACTGAGCAGTGCAGGACCTCTGGCCTCTGCAAACAGCCCCTGCATGAAGGTGAACCCCAGCACAGCTTGGGGGTGTCTCTGTGCTCACAGAACTGTCCTGCTCAGAGCCACTTTTAGGACACTGGAACAATGGAGAGAACAAGAATTATCTGTAAGGGCCTTTCGTGCTCAGGCCTTTCATGCACTTCTTGATGCTGACACAGATTTGGAAGGCAGGGCCACAAAGTTCAGGCCATGCAGAAACAGCCCCAAAGCTGCAGCAGGAAGGGCTTCAAACTTAGTCCAAATCTCTAAGTTTTGCTCAACAACAACCAGACAGAAGCAAGACAGAACAAGGCATTTCCTTAGGTCTCTCCATGATAAAGGCAAACAATTCTGTGACTCCTCCAGCTCAAACTCTGGAGGAGCTTCCCAAAGGACACAACACAGGGATCCATGTTCTGTAGCTGTAGCTTTAGAACAGTTCTTTGGGATGCTCCAAAACCTCCAAGGCACTCAAAAGTACGATTCCTGTAGAGCAAATCCGTGTTCTTTTCTGAGACAAGGTGGTATTTAGCAAAGTGTGGCTCTCAGTTTGCCTTTGAAATGGTCAGCAAAAAAAATAAAAATTGGCAGGTTCCACCTTACCTTTCCCAATGACTACAAACATTTGGATCATCTGGATTTAGGGACAGAGCAGTTTTCAGCAGAAAAGTCAAGATAAGCCCTTTTAGAATCCACTGGAACAGTGTAAGTGCCACCATTGTTGTATCTAGATGGAAAAAAAGAAAGTAGAGCCATTAAAGCCAATTTTGAAGAAAACATCCTTCTCAAGCCTTTTCCTCCTTACTTTTGTGCAAATCCAAATCCTGGGGAGTTATTCACAAACTGAAACACTTGAAAGAGCAATCAACTAAAAAATATCATTTTTAAAAAGTTCAAATCCATTCTAAAAGGAATTTATACATTTCAACCTAATAAACCCAATGAATTTGATGATCCAGCTACCCAAGGTATTGACAGCCCCAATGATTCCTCCAAAGCACATTTCTGATACTGATTGTTTTTATGACTGGCTGTCTGTGCTGATAAATAAATCACTGAGGTGTTAAAACAATCTGTTCTTCCATCGAGCTATAGGCAAGTGCAGGAACACCCAAATGCCCCCTTTGATTTATTTAAATGGGGTTTACAGGTGTCAATAGAACAGGCTGGGGCTGAGAAATGATTATTGCATGAAGGAAGGAAAATCAATGCACTTTTCAGGTCTTAGATGGGGAATCACTGAAAATTACAGAGGTCAATGCATTGGGGCCCATTATGCAGAACACTGAACATGAAATAAAAATATTTGCATGGAAGCTGAAAAGACGTTGTATCAAATTCATTAGGTGTGGTCTCTTCATCATCTTACTGTTCATCTGGTAAATGGGGCTTTGAAACCAAAGTCGTGGTGTTTGCCCAGAAGTCCCAACGACTTCAGTCAAAAAATACAAAATATATAGGAAATACACAGTTGCTTTTAAATGTAACAGCATCAGAGGTGTTAATCTGTAAAACATTCAGTCAGGAAAAAGTATTTTTAAATATCCACTTCAGGCATTTAACATGGACACATAATTCACCATTCAAATCAGAAGTCCTAGAAATTATTCCTGGCAAGGAGATTGCCCTAAAAATAGTCTGAATGTTCATATGATCATCAAAAAAACACATGGCTCATTGCCTCGTGGTCCAGAGCAGCCCAGGGATGTGAAGAGGTTTGCTCTGCAGGGCACTGATATACAGCCCAGCATAAAGAGGCCATCACAAAGCAGAATGAAGAGCCAGGAAAGCAGCTCTGAAATTACCTCCTGACTCAAAGCCTTCTTAGCCACTTCAAGGACACCCGTTGTGAATTTGGAGTCAAAATCCCAGTGGGAGCAATAGTTCATCCTTTAAATTATTCCTCGAGCTCTGCTAAACCCAGAGATAGGTCTTAAGCCATGTAAGTCATATTAATGTTAATTAACATGATTTAATGTTAATGTTCCTCATGAAGTGGATTTAAGTCCAGCAGTGACCATTCTTTACCTGAGGGCTGTTCCAAAGCCCCACTGGAACAATGCAAAAGCTCCCTCTGGAAATCCAGAGGGCTGACGAGGCAAGGGGGTGTTTATGGAAAAGCCATTCCCTCCCTTTGCCCTGGGAACTGCTTCTCCATGGAGAAAAAGTGTCCTGAAGTGTCCATGGGACACAAATCCACTAAACCCAATGTTCAAACACTCGGAGCTTGCTGGAGAGCAGAGCTGGACTTTCTCTGAGCAAAACAGGGATCAATGGACATGAACCACCCAAGGATGAGGCTTCTCAAGCTGAGAGACAACCCTTTAACACAAATATCTTCCAGAGATGCCTTTAACTATCCCACTGTCACCATTTGAGTCATGCCAAAGTGCAGGGGGTGGGTTTTCTTGAGCACTGTATTTACAGGTTTTAATTGACCCCCTTTCTTCCTTCTCTACGGCTTTGGGACAGCCAGGACTGAGTAAACGGGGGAGAGAAGAGTTCACTTCAAGACAATCCTGCTCAAGCAAAAGCAACCCTTCAGAGAGGGGGGGTTAAATAAAAACTCAGCTCTGTGCTCACCTTAACTCCTTGAGAGCCTCAGTAGCCTGGGTTGGGGCTGAATTAATTACAGGAGGAAAGGCAAACTGACTGGGAACAGGGAATTTACTGCCCGCTCGTTGCCTTCCATCAGTTATCAGCAACTGAAAGGTAAATAATAATTAATTCCAAGTAGAAATCAAACTTCTCCCCCACTCTAATTTCTTCTCCTTCAGTAGCAATTGAAGGTAGTGCCCTTGAGTCCAGGAGAAAGCAAACTTTCTGGAAAGATTTGCTTATAATCCACTGGATGCTGAGAAAGATGCTCTTAAAACCATCCATTCCTGCTGGAAATTACTGGGTTTTTATATTCAATTTTATATAACCTTTATATTAAAGTACACTCTAAAAAAATACAAATAAATGAGAATAGAGTCCTGCTGCCTCACTCTGAAGAGAATGAGACCTCTCACATTTCACTAAAGCAGCCACATATTTGAATTCTGTAGTTCTCAGAGACCTCAATTTGTTCTTAAGAAAATGATGTGTCAGTTTAGTTTTTAAATCAAACAAACACCACAGAATTATTTATAAGCCTTAATAGCACCTGGCATATTTTTTTTGCAATGTATTTGAAAGAGGTTCTAAACTGTTTTCTAAACTTTTAATGCTAATGCCATTTTATTATCTGTTTGTAAGGGAGCTGCTTTGTGCCAATAATTTCCTAAATTTGTAAGTCAGATCATAGATCAGAACCATCCAACTCCCCAAATGCAGCAGAACCTCATTCATCTCAAGTGTCTCTTTTTGTACCTCAGATGAAATATTTCACTTTGATCACCGTTAATAGAAAAGCCCTCACACCAAAATGGAATGGTTGCTATTACAAGAGTCAGAATAAAACTCTAAAAATAGGAGCACATTTATTAAAAACCAACATCAAAAAAGAGCCCAGTAATGACACCTAATAGTGGGTTTGCAGCTTGCCTTGCTCACCACAGCACACACTGAATTCCTGCCCTGGGTCATGTTCTCCAAGGAGGAGCATCAACCAGCCTTCCAGGGGGACAATGCCTGGAATGTCATTAAAGATACAGCCAAATTATATCCATATTTCCAGGGCCTGCCCCTCTCCCAGGACAGGCAACCAACACAATTGACACAAAGGTTCTCTGTGCAATCCCCACGTGGACTCTGACTTCATGTCTCTCCAGGGCTGATTTTTCTTTTCAGGAGTGAAAGGAGTCAATTTAGGCACAATTTAGCAAGAAAGAGACTCTTTCAATGCAAAATACAACCTGGTGTTCTGTCACAAGTGTCTCACTCGCTGTTAATTAGAACTCATCAGGTATCTGGTGCTCATTAAGGCCATTTTCTCATACCTGGCTCCTTTCTGAATAAATGTCAGTATTTCACTTACAATACTGATACAGGTCACTGGTTCCATCACAAAAAAAAAGCCTCAAATCTTAACTATACGAAATCTTGTAGGTGGCAAATCATTAATTTATTTGTCTGTGGAGTCACTTTACAAACACTTTGGCTGAGGAAACTGTGCTGGGGTTTGCAAAGACACCAGGAGATGCAGATGATCCTTTAAATCAGACAACCATGTGGCCCATGTGCAAAGAAAATAAGACCTCAAAGAATCCTTGCTGAGTGAAATAAATAACCTATAAAGCTTTTCCTGGTTTTGGTCACATTCTTGTGTACTTTAAGTGGCTGAGGGGAAAAAAAGGCAAACCAAAACCACAGGTTGAATTTCTCCTCTGCTTCCCTGGCTGACAGGCTGGAAAATCCAACTAAAAACGACCATTAGAGACTTTCCTGTTCAGGGCCAGAGGTGGTGAAACATTTCATTTTGACATCTCTGTCATAAAATATTTCATAACGTGACTTTGACATGAAATTCAAACAGAGTTTCCAGTCCATGACAGAGTTCTAAATTGAAAGCTTTTCTCTCAATTTGGGGTGAATTGAGCTCTAAGCCAGGCAGAAACCCCTAATTTGATGTCCAGTTGTAAACAGGGAAAACATTTACAGAAGTGGCTTTCACTAGCAGGCAATATTCTTAAATCCTGGTGTGCTTTTCAAGATGTTTAAATGTCCATGCAGTCAATTAACCTTGCCAGAATTTTTCCCACCAGTTTCCAAGTGATGTCGTATTAAAAGTCTTACCTCAAAGTGCTAAAAATTCCCAGTGGATCCTGTTTTTACTCCTCCCAGTCCATGGAGACACCCAGCACGTTCCCAGGATAGCAGGGGAAAGCTCCTGGATGCTGCTTGGCCCTGGGAACCATGAATTAGGAAAACACTGGTCAGAGGGAGCGTGTTTGGGGGAGTGGGAACAAATCAAGGCAGAAAGGAGATAAATCCTTGCAAATAATTAGATATCCCAACATAATTGTGCCATATCACACCCAATACCATTATCCTGCTTCCAGGCAAAGTGACCAGGAAAGGTTTTAAGAACAAACATCCCTTTTACACCCTCCCAGCCTCCAGAAATTTATTTCCTTATCATTTCCCACATTTTGTTTACACAAGGACTTTTCCTTGTGTTAACATCCCAACAAGAAAGTTTCATTTCTTTCAGGAAGTTTGATGAAAGACCTTGCAAAAGCCTTCTGAAAATCTAACAGCATCTTCTTGAGCCACATATTTCCTTCAAGGAGCTTTAACAACTTATGAAGCCTTTACAAAGCCACGTTGATTCTCCATAAACATATTATATTTATCCAGATAAATCATTTTCTGTGCCTAATTACAGTTTATACCAAATGTGCACCAAAATTAAAATGATGGGTGCTAGTATTTGGGTGTGAGCAATGGAGGAAAATGCAAGAGAACAGTTAAGCCAGGAAACAAAAAGTTGGATTTCACTGGAGAAGCATTAAAGCGACGGAGGATTTGCTGATTCCAGGCTTTTAGTCTCTAAGTAGCAGCAAGCTTCCAACGAGCTGCCCTTGGTGCTATTCCTCCTTCTCATCCCATCTGAAATTTTCATGATAGTTTAGGCAAGGGATCATTTAAACACACACTTCATTTGGCTCCACATCAGGTTTTGCTCGAAACAAGCTGTTATGAAAGCTAAATGAGGCCACGAGTTTCAAAACTCATCGGGGTTTTTTGGATGCCTCCATTTAGGATTAATAACTTGAGATACCGTGAAAGGGCTGCATAAAAAAAGCAGAGCTTGGGATACCTGCTAAGAACAGCTTGTTTTACTCTGGGCAGTCAAGAACAAATCCATTCAACCTCACCAGTCACCTCTAAAAGTTGTTGTCGTGACCAACAGAAATATTGCCAATGACAGGCTGTGGTTTTGTTTGTTTTTTAATGAAAATTTAAAGCTGTTTTAAACAGATAAACACTTCCAGGAAGGCTCAGGTACAGAATACAAAAACACTGACAATGTGATTCTTATCATCTGAGCACAGAGAAATTCAAGGGATGGAAGAAGGAGCAGAAACACCAGACTGTGCTCTGGGTTCCCTCCACTGGCATCTCGCACAATTAACGAGGGAGACAGGAGACAAGAATTAACATGTCATTAACATGGCTTGGAAATGAAAGAATAAAAGCAAAATTCCGAGCTTTGCACAGTTTAGAGGGCAGACATCAGGTACAAAGAGCTGCACCCTGAGTCCTGTTTGCTCAGTCTTAGCAGCCACCACCTCGGCTACGTCATTCCCTAAGCAGGGGCTGGTTAGCACCAAGAAAGGAACCAATTCCACTTCCCAAGATATCATTTTAGAGGCTTTTTTTTTAAAGCACACCAGGGTCCCAACTGCTGCAGTGCCCTCATGACCATCCCTCACGTTCTTTGAACCACAGCTGCTCAGTTTTCCATAACTGGGTGGGGGGCTGATTTCAGTGGGATCTGAACATCCAAATCTCTTCAGTTGCTTTAAATCTTGGAGCTGTAAAATACCCCATTGTGAGCTGCAATGGCTGCAGTGAACACTGTTACAGTGCCACAGAGAACTTATGGAGCCTGAAGATCTGCTTTGGTGGTAACACCCTCACCAGTTGATATCTGGAGTCACCGGGAGCTTGGCTAGAGCAAAGCAGGAATAAATAATGAAGTCAGAGCTCCTCAACCTATCCAATGTTATTTTTGGAAGCTCAGGATTGTTCCTTCAGTGACCTCAGAGGAAAAGTGGGTCAAAATACCACAGAGACATGTCACCAGGCAAGGAATCTGGGCAATTCCTTTAGTTATGGTTAATGAAATATGTTTGTCAAGACAAGAGTCTGTGTGTCTGGGGCTCTGTTTAAATCACACTGGCAAAGATTTAAGCCCTGGTGCTGGTTTAGCAGAGTGGGCTGGGCTGTGGTGGTTCAAATTCCACCAGAATTCTGCATCCAGTGTTTTCTGTAGGTCAGCACTGAGCCTTCAGCCACAGCCACCAACAGCAGCAAGCTTTGGAACCTCAGGTGGAATTTAGGACACACAAGTTCCCAAAGTCTCAGTATCTTCCACAGGGGAAGAGCACAGGTCGTCCTGCCAGGTGCTTTAAAAATCAGCTTATCACAAACTGAAAGGTGGTTAGATACTGAAGCAACAATGTGTAAACATGTCTGGCATTTGCCAACCACTCTGTGAGATCCACACCAACACACACAGAGAGATGCAGACCCAGGATTTTGTCACCATTACACAAACCCCACGAGCCCTTGTGCAAAGCACAACTACCAACACAAAGAGGTGTTATTCACTACCACGCTGAACTTCCTTTTCTGAAATAATTGAATAGTTAATCAATAGTCCAGCAGAAATATAATGAAAATATTACATTAACAACACCTAAAAACATTGCTGAACCGGTGCCCAAAGCCAGATAATTGCTGGCTCCTTTTCAGGAAGGTCAGCTTGGAAAAAGATTATCTGTGATTTTCTGCCCATAATTTCGTACTTGTACTCAACTACCAGTGTAAATTTGGAAGGCAGCCCTTTGAACAGTTGGCCCTTGAAGTTATTAATCCAAACTCAGGCCCCCTGAAACCCTCGTGTTCCTCCCGGTGCCCAAGCCCTGAGCTGCTCTTCCAAGCCCTGCCAGTCCGGACAGGGGATGGTTGATGTTCCAACGGCGCTTCCTGCCAAAAGCAAGTTGGTGTTGGCAGGATTTGAGAGCAAAATCCTGGGCCTCTGAAGTATTTCAAGAGAAAACAACCTCCTGCAAGCTGAGAGATCCTCCTGGGGCAGCTTTCTCTGAACCCTCTCCATTAAAACATGGTAAACAAGGAAAGTCAGGAAGAGCCACTTTGTGCATTTGGCTGCTCTGCCCTGATCCCACCAGCCCAGTGCTCCAGGAGGGATGGCCAGGGAAGGCAGGCAGGCTCTGATATCCCCTCTGATGATCCCAGTGGATCCCCCCTACTGATCCCAGTCCTCTGCTCAGTGGAATGTTAAAGCTGCTGAAGCTGTGTGGGGAGTCATTGGCTCCTGACTGAACAGCATATTTATATTTTTATATATATTTATATTCCCTATCCCATGAATATTCCCGAGATGCCTCCACAGACATTCCTTCAGAAGAGAAAGGAGCTGACACACATCAAAAAACCTCAACTCCTGAGAAGCCAAGTGAGCTTGAAGTGAGCTCACACCCAGCCACCCACCCAAACAATTGCAACATGGGCTTCCTCAGACACTTGGAGAGACACAACGGCCTCGTGTCCCCAGAACACCCAGGATAAATAAAGCAAACATTTTTCTAAACATTCTAAATATTTAGTTAAAAAACCCAACCATTTATTGCAAGTGAATTTTTCACAGCATTGAAAGAGTGCACATGAAGTTGACCTGAAAATGGGAGTAACAAAGGGTGTTCAATAGACACACAGTAAAATAAATTTACTGTGATTCTCTGAAAGTCAGGAAATAAAAAAAAAAACAAGTGGTTTGAAAATGTAGAATATCTTTTATGGTTATATATTTTTTAAAATTACTTCTATTTGTCAAGAACAATTGGCCCCTTCTTTTTGTCTTCATTTATCTCAGTGGAAAATAAAATGGAACAAACAGCAAAAAAGTCCCAAGTACAGTGAACAGCTGAGCCAGGGACAAATTAAGTAACACAGATTGATGGCTGTTGATCTCCAGCAGCACCATCACATCCCAGTGCTACAGCTCATATTTCATTTAAAGACCTGTCTCTCCTTTTCCAAACAGTGCAGTATTTCTGGGAGAAGGCTGATTTGCAAGCCTTGGAGCTGCACTGAGAATCCAGACTCAGTTCTCCCAATTTGGCTTTAAAGTTGGTGGATTCCTTGAATTTTTGGGGTACCAACTGAAATAAAGCAAAACCAAACACTGGGATAAAATAAACACTGAAGGTGAATATGTATTTTTTAAAAATGCTGCTTTTTATCTTCAGTATCTTTATAAAACAGGAAGGAACCAACGTTTGCTACCTCTGCACCTCTACCTTTGCTGACCCCACTGGTCCAATATGTTCAGCTGCTCTCCTGGGGGTTTTCCCAGAGCTTTATCCTCCCTGGCATTCCCTGTTACAGCAGCACGTGGATGTCCCTCCTCCCACATTCCATTTTCCTCTCAGCCTCTTGCAATCTTCATCTAAGAGTTTTTAACTCCATAGATATCGAAGACATTGACAGCCCATGCATAAATTTTTCTACAGATGTCTGTTAAATATAAACGTTAAATCAATTTTCACATTTCTAATGGCTTAAGAATTAGAGTGGCCACGTAAAACCTGCCAATTTTATGTGAAATAAAAGAGCTTTCCTCAGAAGCTGCAACAGCCCTTTGTGTTTTCCTGTGTTTCTTACAGGGCATACGTGGAGTAGTATCGATACTGGAGGGTTGGTATTTGGTTCAATCATCTCAAAGCTAAAAGCCTCAACTTTGGGGTCCACAAAATGCACCTGATTTTCAGAGCCCAAATCTCTGTCTGAGAATCAGGGTGGTCACTCAGCTGCCTGGCTAGAAACTCCTGGATTTGGGCATCCCACATGGAAAACAGGCTGAGCAGATGTGCCCTTCTCTAGGACACAGAGCTGTGCCATGGAGAAGGTCCTGGTGTGGGAGGGTCTTTGCAATTCCTGCTGGTCACTGCTGTGAGGGGGAAAAAAGCTGCAGAATATTGCTGCTTAACTATCCACAGTGCCTAAAGCTCATCTCCCAAAAAACACCCCTGGAGGAGGCTCAAGATTCACAGGAAAATGTGAGGTCATTTATGTCCCAGCAAGGCAAGACTCAGACCCCAAATCCCTTTCCATGCCTTGACTCCTCTGTGAAGCAGGACAGAGAGTGTTGGGCC